GGGGGGTGTTGTGGTGCATGTTTTGATCTACGTAGATGATTTAATTATTGCTGGGACTGATGAGTCATTTATTGGGAAATTCAAGCATTACTTGTCTGAATGTTTTCATATGAAGGATTTGGGGCAATTAAAATATTTCTTAGGGTTGGAGGTGGCACGAAACTCAAAGGGAATCTTCTTATGTCAACGAAAGTATGCCTTGGATATTTTGACCGAGACTGGCATGCTTGGAGCGCGACCGGCGAGCACACCCCTTCCTGCGAACCATCATCTTGCTCTCGCCCAAGGCCCGGAACTTCTCCAACCAAGCCAATACAGACGTCTTGTTGGTCGGCTTATCTATTTGACAATTTCTCGGCCTGATTTATCCTATGCAGTGCACACTCTTTCACAGTTTATAGGGACCCCCCGACAGGAACATTGGGATGCTGCTCAACATACTCTTCGCTATTTAAAATCTCGGCCTGGTCAAGGACTTTTTCTTCCCGCTGATGGGGATTTGTCCCTCACGGCATTCTGCGACTCTGATTGGGCAAGCTGTCCGCTCACTCGTCGTTCGGTGACAGGATACTTTATAAAGCTTGGGGATTCACCAATTTCGTGGCGAACAAAGAAACAACATACTGTTTCCCGTTCATCGGCTGAAGCTGAATATCGTGCGATGGCTACTACTGTATGTGAACTCAAGTGGTTGCGGTCTCTTCTTTTGTCGTTTGGAATTACAGTGCGCCTTCCTATGAAGTTATTTTGTGATAGTCAGGCTGCGATTCACATAGCAGCAAACCCAGTATTCCATGAGCGCACTAAACACATCGAAATTGACTGTCATTTCGTTCGGGATGAGATTCAGCGTGGCATCCTTCGCACCATGCATATTACTTCGGCTGATCAACCTGCTGACATCCTGACTAAAGCATTGCCCACTGCGTCTTTCATGCATCTGTTGTCCAAGCTGGGCACTCGTAATCCACACGTACCCGCTTGAGGGGGGGTGTTACGGAACGAGAATTCGTTCCTTGGCTTGCACGCACACTGGAAGGCCGAATCCTTTGAGGATTTG